TACCTCCTGGATCATTTAACATTCTGCCTAAAGCATCCTTGATTGTAGCAACTTGAGGTTTGAATTTGCTCTTCAGTTCCTTGAGCTTAAGAAATGCTGAACGAGTTCGGCCCTTTTCATTTTCCGACTCTAGCTCCTCGCACATTTCATTGTAATATTTTGCTTTGTCATTCCGTGCTGCTAAGGCTTTGAAAAATAAGGAACTTGACAATACACAAAAAATGATGAGCATTGTTGTTGTTGTGTATCATTAAGTCAGAACAAATCCATAGCTGATCCTCTAGGATGCTTTTAGAGGCAGCACATTGCACAGGAGAGTATTTCCCATTTTTCTCCCATGAAGCAGATGGTGCCTTTGAACCACATGCCTTTGGGGTGGCGGCACAGCTCTTTATCAGTAGACCACCAGAGCTCCCTGAATGAGCATTGTTGTTAAGTGTGGTCAAGTCAAGTACCACTTATACAGAGTATGTGAAAAATATTTCTGAACCCTTTCCTATCCTGTGCCATCCTCACAATATTTTATATATTCAAGCCCATTGCTGCAGTTACTGTGTCAGTCTACCTCATTGCAAATTTTCCTCTCCTTTGCTGCCCTTCCACCTACCCAAGTATGATGTCCTTCACCAAGGAACAGCCTCTCTTAGTAACATGCCCAAAGTTTGTGAGCCTAAGCATTGCTATCCCTGCCTTCAAGGAACACTTTAGCTGTACCTTCTCTGAGACATCTGTCCTTTTTGTCTATGCCCATGGGTAGAGTTCAGTACTCTTCTTCAATAGCACAGTTCAAAGGCCTCAAGTTTTTTTTCTGTCATCCTTATTCATTGTCCAGCTCTCAGCAGTAGCAAGAAATGGGAAAGATCATGGCCTGAATCACTCACACCTTAGTCTTCAAAATAACATCTTAGTTCCTCAAAATTTGGAGAGGTCTCTGACTACACACACTCCCAATGCAGTATGTATCCTGATCTCTAGACTGCTGGTATCAAGTGCATTGATTGTGGATCCAAGCAAGTTGTTGACAATTTTAATCTTTTCTCCATCTGTCATAAGGTTGCCAATTGGTCCAG